CTCTCTCTCTCTCAGCGTGCGAGCAAGCACTTGGCATGCCTAACGGCAACAACAACAACTGTTGCCGTTTCAGATAAATGGCAGCATTTATCTGAAACGGCAACAGTTTTGCCGTGGCCTGAGCCTGGACCCACCGCCGTCCTCACACTCCCCACTGCCCAGACGTTGCCCCTCACCCACTGGCTCCGAAACGGGGCCGAAACGGCCCACCGGGCTTTTTTTTTTTTTTTTTTTTTTTTTTTGCGTTTTTTTTTTTGCGCCGCTCACAAAGGTCCGACCCCCAAAAAAAAAAAATGGGCGTGTAGCGCTTTTTCAGCCCTACACGCCCCTTTTTTTTCTTTTTTTTTTTACGTGAAATATGGGTGAAAAAAATCATGTACCGAACTCGGCTGGTCGGCCTAGGCTGAACCGGGCCGAGTCGGTCATCGGCCTAGGCCGCGGCCGATTCGGACCCCCCGGCCGCGGCCGGGTGTGCAACATAGTCTACTAGTCATGTGAGAGTGTTTTGTTTTAGTTTCCTTCTTACTTCCAATCATTCTTCCACTTGGGTATATCTCGCTTTATCATAGTGTGCCTCTACTAGTTATGTGAGAGTGTTTTGTCGAGTTTCCTTTATGCTTTCAATCATTCTTTTACTTGGGTATATCTCACTTCATCATAGTGTGTTTCTACTTGTCATGTGCATGCGTTTTGTCTAGTTTTATTCATGCTTTCACCCATTCTTTTGGTTGGGTATATCTCGCTTCATCAAATGTGCCTCTACTAGTCATATGAGATATGCATTTGTTTTGTCTAGTTTCTTTCATCGCTTTTAGTTGGGTATATCTCGCTTCATCACAATGTGCTTTTACTTGTGATATGCATGTGTTTTGTCTAGTTTCGTTCATGCTTACACTCATTCTTCTACTTGAGAGCATCTCGCTTCATCCTAGTGTGGTTCTAACTTGTCTTTTGCATATGTTTTATCTAGTTTCCTTCATGCTTTCACTCATTCTTCTACATGGGTTTGTCTTGCATCATCATAGTGTGTTTCTACTTGTCATGTGCATATGTTTTGTCTAGTTTCCTTCATGCTTTCACTCATTCTTCTACTCGGGAGTATCTCACTTCATTCCAGTGTGCTTCTAACTTGTCATGTGAATATGTTTTGTCTAGTTTCCTTCATGCTTTCACTCATCCTTCTACATGGGTGTGTCTCGCTTCATCATAGTGTTCTTCTACTTGTCATGTGCATGTGTTTTGACTAGTTTTCTTCATGCTTTCGGTCATTCTCCAACTTGAGTGTATCTCGTGTCATCATAGTGTATCTCAACTAGTCATATGGGAGTGTTTTGTCAAGTGTCCTTCGTCTGTCGCTTATTCTTCTACTTGGGTGTATTTCACTTCATCCTAGTGCGCTTTTACTAGTCATACACAAGTGTTTTGGCTAGCTGCCTTCATGCTTTCACTCATTCTTCAACTTGAGTGCATCTCGTTTCATCGTAGTGTGCTCCTACTAGCCATGTGAATGTGTCTTGTCTAGTGTCTGGTTCGAACATAGAAGGTCTCTCTCTCTCTCTCTCTCTCTCTCTCTCTCTCTCTCGCTTCCTCTATCTCCATCCACCACAATATTTTGGATTCGTGTCCTTCCGCTTTTTTTTCCATCTCGACTTACGGCTAACCCTTCTCCACTTTCTTGCGCATTGCCAGGGGACGAACAGTGAAAGAACTTTAATCTCAATAGGGGTTGTGTTTGTCTTTGATTGTGCTGGGTATGCAAGCGAGTGTGCAAAAATCGAACATCCAGCAAGGTTGAATAGCTAAAGAAAGATTGAATGGGAGAAACGGGTTATGAATGAAACCCTTGCTATAGATGATCTCAGTCCCTTATACCTAGATTGTGGTTCCCTTTATCTGAGACATGGGGCTTTAAGAAAGGAAGAGTGTCGAGAAGGAAAAATGCAAGAAAAGGGGGGCAGTGTCCCAGATATGTGTGGGAGAGGCTCTGGAAAGACTAAGGGACGTATAGGCGAACAAGAGAACAATGCTTGACAAAATAGAGGATTGAGAAATGTGTAAGGGCGTATTGATAAGGCACCGGTTTCAGAAAGCAGACTAACCACGAAGCCAAACCGAGTAAAGGAGGCGCCCCTCCCGACGGGACAAGCAAAAAAATGAGGGCAAGACGCGGGAACAAGCGGTTATTCACATAGATTTGTAAGGGGAAGTCGAGAGGCTGGTTGAAAGGGCAGAGTCATCATGTTACAAGTTTTATGATGACATGTATGAGACATACTGATTGGGTGAGGAAAAATTGACTAAGCAAGACCTTGAGAAAATAAATCGATACAGTTACGTATTGAAATAACACTTCATAACAGAGTTCAAGCGTGCTTCCCGTAAGGTTTGGGCACTGCCAGAATATGATAAGTATCTCGCCTTCCTCATCAATTTCTCACATGCAGAGAAGCGAGATTTAGTTCATGGGGCAGAAGGGAGATTTTTATGAGGTAATATCCGACAGAATCTCTTGGAAGGAGACTTTGATCAACACCTTTGTTACATCCTGCAACAAGCAAAAGAAAAAGAGAGTTACGAAACCATAACAAGGAGAGGTCTGATCGGCAAGTGAAGGAAGTTGTAGAAGACACTTCTAAGGATACACAGGGTATGCCTCAAAAGAAGGATTGCAAAGAGGCTAAGCGGATTCAAAAGATGGGTGGAAAGCAGAAAACGAAGTTGTGCATCGAGGAAGAAGTTGGGAAGGTTAGAACCAAGGGCGTCGTGACCCATCTTTGCAAGAGGGCAATTGACGCTCAAATAGGAAGAGAGACGAGTAAGGGAACCGCAAAGAGGGTAGTAGAACCTACTGCTTCCCATGCCCAACCTGCAGAAGCACCAAACAGGTATCGCGGGGACGTAATCTGAAGGTTGGAAGACACGTAAGGTAAAGAAAGGACGAGAGCATTGCTTGAAGATAATGTGTAGATGTTGTGGAGATGTCAGTCATACGCCTCACAAGTGCAGGGTGACGAAGGGAAACCAGAAAATGAACTTCACAACTCTGAGTGGACTAAAAGTACCTTAGAATGTTAAGACAACCTTATCAAGTCAGGTTTTATGATAGTTGAGTAGTAAACATTGAGAATATGAAGAGTCTAGATTGCAAGTTCTTAATAGTCGAGAAATTTGAGAATTCGTTAGAGAGCTATATAAAAAACGTTATGATAATAGAGTGACTACTTGTGAAAGTGCATGATGGCGGTAACGAGTGGGAAAGACCCGAGGAAATGGCAGCGGAGGCCACTTCGCTAGTGGTTGAGTCGACGTGACTATGATCTGAGGGCAAAAGGTTGAAATCTTTTGAAAATGAGTCATTAGGCCAAATAAAAGTACATACTTGAGTCACTTTAACTAGGCTCATAAAATTTTATAATACATAGTCTTTGACCTGTGACTATGATCTGAGGGCGAGAGGTTGAAACTTTTTGAAAGTGAGTCATTGGGCTAGATAAAAGTATCTACGTGAGCTACTTTAACTTGGATCATAAGATTTTGCAATACGTAGTATTTGACTTTTGTATGACAATGATTTGAATGTATTATCAATTACTTCTCCGTAATCAGATTGTATATGTGTTATATGACCGACTATCCATTTGTTAAGTTTGTTTTGGTTTCTTTCGGGTATGAATGAACATTCTCCACACACACACTAGATACCAAACGAACTTTGTGAGATTATTTGGAGTTGTTTTTTATGTGTCAGAGTCTGCAACAGACCGTGTGGTTTATTGTATGAGATCATAAGCTTTTATTGAAGCTTTATCCTTGCCGTTAAGTTGAAATATGTTAAGAATCACTTTGATATGAATTCGTGATATTCTACAAGTTGCGGATCCGTGCGCATTCTGATTATCATCAACATTCTCACTGTTGTGGGTTTGCTCTTATGGTGATGTGCATTTCTTGAGGTGTACTACAATAGTGTTAATGGTAAAAT